TGCAGATGACTGAAATCTCTTAGAATCCTGGCTGGGGCAGGCATCCTGTCCCCTCCTGTCCTGCCTCATCTCATGCCTCTGCTCTTGCAGACAGCTGTTACGTAACCCTGTTTCTAGGCTTCTTCAGCTTCATCTGGGAATTGGTTTCTCTCATTCTCCAGCACCCTTAGGGTTGACTATGCCAAGAGTTCTGCTCTTATGGCTGCTGGCATCCTTTTTCTAAGTTCTCCTGCTTCAAGTATTTCTGAACTCTTTCTACAACTGTGCATCACGCATGAGTTTGTAGGTTGGTGCTGGCTGGAGTCTTTCATGTGACTTCATTTTACCTAAACATTTTTCATTATGTTTACTGGAAATTCCATACTACTTATGTCTTAGTAATGAATTTTGCCATTTTTATCTTTTATTCATGCTGTCACTGACTACATATACACAACCCTTCTCCTCCTCTGTCACTGGCAGTTGCTGAGACACCGTTTTATGCTGAGCGTTAAGTGCAGCTTATGTCAGAACCCTAAATACTCCATGTTAAACAATACATTCAAATTCCAGCCATTCTTCTTATTCACAGTCCTTAAGGTCTGCTGTTTTTCTGTTTATGGGATGATAGCACCCAATTTTGTGTTACAAACCGTGTAGTCCATACCAGTTTAAACTTGCAATAATATTTTTTTACTGTAGCATCCAAAGTGAGCGTAGAATTCAAAATGAGTAGAGAGTTGCATTATGTTCAGTTTTCCTAGTATGGAATATCCATGTGTTCACACACGGGGTAGCCATCTAAGCACATACATGTGTCTCAGGCTTTTAATGAATAATGGATCATAAACACAATGTGAAAAATGACAAATATTGCATTCAATTATGTAAAACATCTTCTAAGGAGAGAAAACAATTAACAGCTTCCATTATTACAGTAGGGTTCTTTGTTTTTGATTTTTGATGCTCTGTGTCTTTAAATTGCTATGGTTTATGGTTTGTGATTTAAAGTTTTATAAATGAAGAGCTGCTTTCTGCTTGAAACTTTGTCCTTAGTCTTTAATAACTGGATAGCAGGTTGTGGGGTTTTGTTGTTTTGTTGGTGACTGATAGTGGTGGTTTTTGGTTTTGTTTTTTTCTGACTTTGGTAGTAGCAGTAGTTCAAAACCTGGCAGATCTAGACTTTGGAGAAAATCATTTATGAAGAACTGAATGAGAGTGCACTCTTTGGAGTAGGAACATGTGCTTTCTACAAGAGACATCTCATCCCAGGTACAAGTAATCTTTACTAACCTGAAAAGGATATATACATTATTTTTTATAAAAGAGAGGTTTCCTAACAACATTTAGGCCAAGAGAGGCTCAGAGATGAGCCCATATGCACATAGACTCTGATCCAGTGTTCTTCATATGAGTAAAGAATTGGGGAGTGAATCCATGCACCAGTGCAGCTGGAAGAGCTCTCTGTCCTACAACGTGTGGTTTGGAAAGTGCTGTATCAGATTAATAGATTGATATTTTCATCTATAGAAAGCTTATCTGAAACTGTCATTTAGAGATGTCTTACAGCAGTGTAATTGTCCTGTCCTCTTTTCTCTCAAGATTTCTACATTTAGGCTGGCAATACACAGTTTGACTTTACAGAAAAATATTATGAATACGATTCTACAAAATGTTTTTGTAAATATATGCAATTTTTTGTGGAGTGGTGATGGTACAAAGCTCTTCATGACATGACATAAAAGTCACTTAAAAATAATGTGGCTGTCTCAAAATTATTAACCATTCTGCCCTAAAATACCTCATTTTGTATTACATGTGTTATACAAGCAAAAATGTGGAATGGGAGACTGTCAAATGTTCCCTAGGATGTGTTCACCCAGGAGGGAATGGTGCCCTGCTATCATGAATCCAACTTTATGGTTATTGGGTGAAAAAAGTAAATAGTAATCTTTATAAAAACCTAAGAGTTACAACATAAGTCTCTATGTAGTAACCAAGTGTGGTGTAGCTTTAAAAAGGAAGTGATTTTTTTTTTTTTCTTTTGCTAAAAACCCTCTCACTGAATCAAGGCCATTCCCTGCCTGAAGGCCCTGTTCAGTGTAACCCTCAGGAGATGAAGTTACTCCATTTTAATACCCTTGCTGGTATTGGTTCTCTGATAAGAGTGTCTGTAAGTGTTTCAATTAAAGTGAGATTGTGGTAGTTTTATGGATATCCACCTGCAACAGAATATGATCTTCCTTCCACACTGCAGGGTTTTCAAACAACTTTTGCATGATTAAAAGCTTTTGGCCACTGTGGAATTCTTAGTACGTCTTAATTCCAGGACTAAAGCTGAGACTTCATCATTGTAGTAAACTTTGTCTGAAAATAAAATGTTTCTTTTCCCTACTCTATCAGTATGCATTATACTCATCTTTGCCCCCCAAACTGGTTGCTTATCTGTTTTCTTGAGGAAATCTAGGTGTATTTTCCACCGCCAGCATTATATTTCTGCCAGCTTCTGCACCAGCTCTGTTTATTTTTTCCAATGTTATCTCATAGAAATTACTGTTTGTTCAGTGTGTGAAATTTAATTCTGTGCTCTTGAGGTAATGGAGTGCTATTTAAACCTTGTTTTGGGGCTGATGGCAGAAGTCCAATGGTTTCTTTAGCCCCCCACAGTCCCAGCACAGAGGCCCTTTCCCAAATGATATGTTTATGCAGGTGGATTTATTATTTTTAATGTAGTACCATTAGTATGCTGTGGACACAGAAATAAAGAAACAAAACCCTACAGAATCCCTCCTACCAGATCTTGTTTATATGTAACTTGAGAGTAAAAATAAGACAGTGAAAGCATATAGCAGTTCTGGATTTAAAAAGTTCAGTTTCACACAGTTGAAAACCGGGTAAAAGTAGTGACCAGGTTTTTTTCTGCCTGTCTTTTGGCAGGATTATCTGATAGTCCTTCTCTTGTCATGTTTCTCTTGGCTTGTTTAGCTTGTAGGATACTACATATGTCAGGATTTCCCTCTAATTGGAACTCTAGATGTCAAGGAGGTAGTAGATCAGTCAGTATTAGATCTGTTACCAGTTATGTGGTGAGTCTGCTTCTATATAGTTTTGCTGCTTTAAAATGTGCATCTATTTGAGAAATGTGAAGAAGAATTTTGAGTGCCCTATTGCATCAGCAGAACCTTTATTACTTTTTAAGTAGCTCATAATCACAAAAGTTTTGTGTGCTTCATTGTGCAGTTTGTCACTATGAATAAATTCACTCTTAATGTTCTGTTTAATGTTCTATTTACTGTCCTTTATACAGCCATACTCATTATCATAGAATCATCAAATGGTTTGGATTGGAAGGGACCTTAAAGATTATTTAGTTCAACCCCCCTGCCATAGGCAGGGACACCTTCCACTAGACCAGGTTACTCAAAGCCCCATCCAACCTGGCCTTGAATGCTTCCAGGGCTGGGGCATCCACATCTTCTGGACAGCCTATTCCAGTGCCTCAGCACCCTCACAGTGAGCTTCCTTACATCTAATCTAAATCTGCTCCCTTTTGGTTTAAAGCCATTACCCCTTGTCCTATCACTACATGCCCTTATGCTTTCTCTATGAAGTTATTTATGATAAACGTTCAGACCTTCTGAATGAAGACAATGATTTTTTTTTTTTTTAACTAATACATTGGTAAGTGGGGGAGAGGATATAAATGTGGACTTGGAAATAGAAAATTGCTCGTTGTAAGTTAGACAATGGATTTTGGTAGAGTTGCTCATGTATGGTTGAAGAAATTAGTACTCAACACCCATGTAAACAACATAGATTCTTTTAGTTGTGGGTATATTACAGTGCATACCGTATAGACACATAGACTGTCCCAAGTCACTCATATTTTGGGCTTTATGGGGGAAAAAAAGTAAAAAATGTCATTTGAGAGGAAGAGAGAAGAGGAGAATTTGAAGTGCATATTAAAAAAGGAGCCTAAAAATAGAATTTACTTTTTTTTTTTCCCCAACCTATATAGTAACTGTGTGAGGATAGTAGTTTAAGGCTTATATGCTGAATAAAGTGTATTTACCTAATGCTATTGGAATTAGGTAAATAATCCCTAATTTACCTAATGCTGTTGGGAAGGTGGCTTGATAGCATTCATTCATATCTGTAACAACTGCTTCCTATCTACCTACAGGTAAAAACCAGGCAGCCCTAAGAAAGCATCACAACAGTAGAAAAGGGGAGCTAATTTTCATCACGCAAATGTGTATTTTCTTGTAATAAACTGGTGTTTCTTAAACAGAGGTTGAGGTGACTAGAACAGACTAGGAACAGTGGCATATGAAAAAATGCCATATATACAAATAATAAATTAGAGCTGCTTTATTTTTCCTGTACTGCAGGAACTTGTTTGGCTCAATAGAGTTGAGAGGTCCCATATTCAAAACTGGGGAGGAGGTGTTCTTCCCCTCCCAGAATGCATAGCCAACTTGATGTACTCTTTGATGTCAGCATAACAACAAAAGTTGGCAGGGTTCTGAAGCCTCTTACTCCCACTGACAAAATATTAGGCCCTTTTGAAGGTCTGCTAGATCTGCTGTGTCTAACGTGAAGATGGGAGGGTGGGAGCATGAGTATTTTTAGAGAGTGAAGAGAAGCATTAGAAAAAACTTGTAAAAAAGGTAGAAAAATGTTTCAGTTCTAAAAACCTAGGTATCCATCCTCATCATGTAAAGGTTTCTTGTAAGACACTTTTACTAGCAGTAGTAAAACAATATTTAAATACAAAATAACTTCCCTAAGTACCAACTTTAAAAGTCAGTGCTTTTGTTAAAGCATGGCTATTCTGAACTAGTTCAAAGCTGTCTGACAGGACTGGATTTTAGTTAGCATTTAGTAGCCAGTCTGCTGCTAGAACAGCACTGATTTTTGTCACACATTATCTTAGACTGAATTATAATATATATTTGACATTAGTACCAAAGTTACTAACCATAAAAGAGAATAACCCATTTCTACGTTTATTTTCCCAGACACCTGAGGAGCTGGAAGATGTGTCTGACCTTGAAGAAGATCACGATGCACGTAGTCGTACGAGTATTCAGACTGAAGGGAAAACTGACAGGGTGTGTATTACACTAGTTTATTCAAAAAGCAATGTGATAAGGGGAAAAATGCTGTTGGCTACTGTTCTATGAAGCCACTTAAAGTCATACAGTGAGTCATTAAAATCTTGTTCAACTCTTAATAGATTTCTAAAGATGTGTGGAGAGCATAAAACTGATGTGTATGACCTGAAAAAGTCAGTGCAATTAAGTTGGAAATAATTAGTGAATATGTAAATTAGAAGAATTCTTACATTTCATGAATGAAGTTCTATCAGGTTACAGCTTCATGAGTGTGGCTTGGTCTAACAGAAGCTAGGTTAATAAGGAATTCTTTTATGTCTGAGTCTTACTGAAGCCTGCAATGTTTCTTAACCAAAATTAACCTCTATGTAGAAGAAAGTTCACATGCATGGAAGAGAAGGGGATAAATGTGGAATCGCCACCACTGCAGTGCTCGAGTCGCTGACTTTGCCTGCTCTGTTCACATATGAACCTCTTCTATGTAGTTTATTGCTTCACTGGTGAAGTCATGAGGAAGTATGAAAAACTTAATGCAGTTTTTAACCATCACTGTATTTCTGAAGTTCTGAATCTTGTTTTCCTGTCATACTGTCATATCATCATTTAATGTGAGGACTTCAGTACATTACCAGGTTTTGATTGTTTACATTCAAACATTTTTAAGAGCCTGAAAACATTTTTGGGATACCAAAATGTTCCCTAGTACAAAGTTGATGTATTTAGAAAACATTAATCTTCTTTATATACCCATTTTAAGTAATGTTTTCAGCAAAACTGTACTCTGTTCACAACTTTCTGAAGTGGAAAGATCCATGGGGCCAGAGAAGTCTACTTTGTTACTTGTTTGCTCAATAACTAGAGCAATAGCCTGTCCCTTTCTCTTGATTGATTCTACTGTTATTCCCATATTGGAAATTATAAATTATAGAACTAGTAGGGGAAAAGCAAACTTTTCAAGATAAAAAGAACCGTGTCAAGAAAATGGCATTTTAATTCACATCTGTTTTTCAGCAAATACATTTTTCATTCAACAAACACAAATATTTTCATTATTAAGACCTTAAAATACTAAAGAAAAAGCATTAACCAAAATGAAAGCTCACTTGTATTGCCTATCTGCCTCTCAATTACATGTAAATTAACTGTCAGTTAGTTGTTGCATTTCTCATAATGATTTAAGAATTGTGTGAAAGATCACCTCGTACATTCTTATTACTCAATAAACATAATAGGCAATTAAAATATACTAGCTGCCCTTTTCAATTTAAATTACTCTTTGTAAATGTTAGCACATTTTCCTCACATTATAGGCTTAAATTTCTACTGTAGTTAAGAAAGGCAAGTTTTTCCTTCAAAATGTCATCCGTGCGAGATGCTTGAATTAGTTTGGAACAGGTACAGATGGTGTACTTGCATATTTTCATACATGTCCCATAATGAATGCATGTGAAGCTTTGCACTCGCTAGGAAAACAGAAGTAGAAGTTTGCAGGTGTTTACTGTCACAATGTGGTAACAAAAGATCCACTGAAGCTTTAAAAGATCACGTTTTCACACATGGTCTTCTACTTCTCAGATAAAACAGAGTACTTCTTTAAAGGGAGTGTTATTTGAAAACTGTAAAGAACACATACTTCCAGACAATTACACAAGGCAAGAAGTAAATGCTGAAGATTGTTGTAGGTAGGGAGCTGGCTATCAAGAACCAGAAGCATAGATTATTACTGTGGAGAGATGTCTCTGGGATACGCTTTTCCTTGCACTGCACACACATCATATCATCTGCTGTCAGTGAATTCAGTGGGGAGGTGGAGGGAACCATTATTTAGAGATAAACTTTGGTTAATACATCTGAAAAAACCAGCATTTTAACAGTATAGGATGTACTTTTTTTTTCCATTTCTCCCCAAAACAACACAATTACTGTAAATGTTCCTGTTTGGGGAATCTAGATAATAGTAGTCATTGCTTAAAGACTGTTTCTGTGTCTTTACTTGGGAACAGTTTTCTTAGATTTCAGAATATGCTATCAGGGCCATAAATGGCACATTTCCACCAAAAGTAATAGAAAATTTTAGCTTTGACCAAATTAGATAGATACCCTGTCAGCCTAAATCGACGTATTGACAGAAACAAGCACATACATTTATTTTTTTAAACAACGTTTGAACAAATCTATTTGCTGATGCAGCAGACATGAGCAGTTATTTAAGGTCTCTTTGTTTGGACTGCTACTTGATATTGATGTTTGCAGATTTATACCTAGAACCTATTTAGCAATATGAAGCATTTTTATAGGGAAAATAGATTTTTAAGGTTTAGACAGGAATTGTCTTGTGTTCTGCAGCAGATTTTTGTGCCATCATGAGGCTTTTGCATGCAGTGGTAACACCAAGAATGACTGTGGTCCAGAAGTGGTAGGGCAGTATTGCAGACTAACCTTTTCTTCTCCTTGAGTTCTTTCTCTTGGGCATTTCCACTATAGTAGTTCAATTTTATTTATACACACCTGTCTTGGTACTAGTTCTGCATAACAGCACTCTTGATTCCTCTTGTTTTTGTCAAGAGTGTTATTTTCTCCTATGTCACATCTCACTGCTTCAACAGGGAACTAGTGCCAATGAAAGTGCCTTTTTTCTTTCTCTTTTTGTCACAACATATAAAGCATGTAAAGCCAGATGCGATGTGCATGTGCCACTTGTAACAAAGGCTACATCTTAACTAAGAAATGTCAATTTTCTTACATAGGAAGAATTCATATATAATCCATTATAATTTTTTCACAATCTGTCTCCACATATACAGCATATAGGTTACTGGTGAGAGAGCAATGAAAATGAGATTTGACCTTATATTTATGTTCCAGATTCTGCAAGTTTATAGGTAATCTTGGAAATGTTACTTCATTGATCTTTCCCTCAACGAATTCCATATCTCAAAGATGAATATGATAGTGCTTACAGCACCATCCCACACCATGGGATGCAGCCTAGCTTGGGCAATGTGCTGTGAGATCTCTCAGTGATTAAACTGGATAGCAATACTGGTTATTTTTGGTAGGGTGGTTTTATGTCCTTGAAGAAGATCCTTAGGACCAAATCCTTAGCTACTATAAACAGGTGATGCTTGTGGATCCAAGGACTAACACAGATTTTCTCAGCTGAAAGTTAGATCTTCCTCTGGTTCTTGTGCCTAATTTGTGTAGTCACTCCAAAAGTCTATCACACAGTAGTTTTGCTTGAGGAAATACATGCTGTTGTGATCAGTGTGATTCCACCTGTGGTAGGCAGTGGCTTGTTACCATTATGATTTTGCTTTGAAGAGAAGGTCAGGTCAGAATTTGCCCATTTAATTTTTAGACTTAGAAGACAACGTACATTCTCAGTGGAGGAGAGTGTTTAAAGTTACTAAGTGAATGAAGAGAACAGCTTAGCTTAATTTCAAAGTTACTGCTACAGGTTAGGTCTTCATATTGATGAAGAGGCAAAATATTTTAGCTTATAACATAATGCACTTAGAGATGACAAGAGAAGAAATACTTCCAGGCAACCACCCACACACAGGTTTTTTTTTTTCTCAGAGTTCTGCAGACAGTTTTGTGAATACATAGACAAAACCATCTGAAAATAAGATCTTTTATACAGGTTTGTTGCACACTATGTTTGAGCAACAGTTCAGGGCTGATGAAGTGTTGATTCAATGTTTATTGTTATGAATGAGAAAATCCAGGCTGATTTATTTTACTGTTTTATTTATATTATCTCTTACATACAGCAATCATTAGTGTATGTCTAAAAATATATTTAGCCTTGAGAACATGGCCATACAAACATCTTACCAAATTCTGTAAGAAGACAGACTAGTTAGAAAAGCAAACATCAAGAACACCTATGGATAGTTGCATTAAAAAATACTTACAGGGAAGTTAACTTGCCATCAAATGAATTAGCTCTTCTTATTCAGGTAACCAATACTTTACGTCTAAGTTCCAATGTTAATAAAAATTCTGGCATACGTTAACAGGAAGCATGTGCTGTTTTGATAATAAAGCAGCCAAGTTCAAAATATTTAATATGTTTAATTTTTATCCTGATGATAAGAATTCAAGCATAATGCAAATGACTTTTGTAATTTTGAGCAGGTTCTGTGAACAGTAATTTTGACACTTCACACATGGCAATAGATTCCCTGTGCTATTAAAAAGCATCTAATTTTCTTGCTAGTTCTGAAATTTCCCGAATTTCAGTAAAGGGAAGAGATGAAGTTAAGATTGCAGCTGTATAATATTGTATACTATTACAAAGTAGGACTAGGAAGAACCCCAAGAGAGGAGGTTAATCTAGCCATTTGTCCCAAGATACAATAAATATACTTCTTCCTGACATAAATAAGAGGAATTGCATTGCTGTCTCTGCTTAGCTCATTACTGGAATTGATTATGTATTGGAAAGCTATCTTCTTTATACTTCATATGTTACAATTAAGCATGTTAGAACTAGTCTTGTCATCAGTGGACACAAAAGATGTGACATTTCTGTATGTACAAATTCTTTTGTACCTGTAGATCCTTGTTCTATATCCTGTCTGTTTTCTAAACTCTAGATTAGATAACTCAAATACCCTTCGTTTGTCCTTTAACATAGTGGTTTCTGTATGTCTTATTGCTCTGTCTTTCTTTCCTCTGGATACTTTTCATCTGGTTAATGATTTATTGAATTTTGTGTCCCAATTCTATATTTTTTAATGCATCATACCAGCTGTGATCTAAACAATAAGTACCAGTGTAAGTGCATGTGCTGTCGTCTTCAGTATGCATATTTCAGAATGAGCTTTGTGTGAGATTTGCGTTTTTGCCAAGAGTACAACATTTTGATCAGCTACAAATCTCCACCCACAGAACCACTAATATCCAGTTTTGTTTGTTCCATGTACATATTGGTCATTTTACTTAGGAGTCAAGCCTTGTACTTGCCTCAGTTGACCTACATCCTATTATTTTTTCAGATCAGTTCTCAAGTTTCTCAGGATGGCTTTGAATTGTAAATGAGGTCTCTTACATGTCAAACCAGGCCTCTTGACACTGCAAATTCGTGATGTGTACTTGTTGGTTCTGTCATCCACACCATTAGTGAAATACTGAACAATGCCAGAGTCAGGGCAGATCCCTTCAGAATTTTGCCTGCTGGGTCCCTCCAGTTTGGCATGCGTTCTGTATAAGTGTTCAGTGAGCAGTTTCTGACCAGTATCACACCCACCCAATGGCAATTACATCTAGATCATATTTCCTGTATTTCGTGAGGATGGCATGAGAACCAGTCATCCTGGTAAAACCCTAGTGAAGCCCAGATTTAGGACATGCTGCTTTTTTTAATCTCTAGGCCTATTATCTTAGATTAATATGATTAAATTGCCTCATCTAAGTCAGTGTTTTTAGCTAAGGCTGATGCTAAAATGACATTAAACAGTTTGTTCTGTTATCTCTCGGTATCTTTATGTCTTTATCCAATTAAATTGTATCTAAAAATATAGAGAAACTGACATGGCAGCACAAATGAGGTACTCTCTGAACTTCTTCAAAGAATGCTGGACTAATGCAGGCATGCTACAATTCTTTAAATTGGGAGAAGGCAACTGGTGACAGCAAGTAGTAAATTTAACAGAAGAAATTCAGCTTCTCCCACCTGTCAGTGTCTTTCACCTACACAGTTCATCTCTAGGGAATATCCACTGTATTCATTCCACCATGAATTGTTGAATATCCACCATTCTCTTTGCCATGTCTTTATCCAATTTGAACATTTATTCACTCAGTAGGAAAAGAAGGACATTTTGTAAAAGGTAGTGGAAGTATTTTACTCATTTTAACAGAATCACTTTAGATTCTATGCTGTAGTCCAGAAAGGTACTTATGTACTGGTATTCAAAACACATCTCTTTTATAGTCTGTAAGTGCCTATCTCATGCTCACCTTCCTGATAAAATAGGATCAGATGATGTGCATGTGTTTTATTGGCACTGATCTGCAGAGTTTGTTTAATAAAAAATGATTAAAGGTCACCATTGGAACAGTTTTACAACATTTTGATTGGAATACATTACTGGTTTTGGAGTGATTTGTAGGGATCTTGTTCACTTCCACCAAATGGTCAGCTGACTCTGCAGCAGGGAAGCAAGAACATAGGTGAGATGGCTTCTGGTGGCTGCTGAGTCTATAGTGGAATGAAAAGCTTAGCTCTCAAGTAGGGCAAAGATCTATGGATCTATGCCATTATCTTTTAACTACAGTATGTGAAGACCATATTTTCTGTTCTTGCTTGTAAAAGCTCTGAAAAGCTCTACCAGAACAGTGGGGTTTGTTTTCTTTATAACCTACAAAATGATCTTTTCTTCTGTGTGAGTACATGACACACTGCATCCTACAAAGCAAGAGGTGTTAAATAATCCTCAAAGGGAGGTTCTTCCTTTTGAAAAGGGTATCTGGCTTGCCTCCTGTCTCAGAAGGAGTTTTCAATAACACAAACAATTACTTGAGCGTACTATGCTTCTTTCTGTGGCTTTTCTTTCCTTCCTGCCTCCCTGTAAGTGGTAAGAATTGGTGGTATGGATCTGGCCAGTCATTTCTTGTAAGAGAACAGGAAAGAAAAAATGTGTGTTGGTCTAAGACTTGGAGAGAATAATCGTTAAGTCTATATGAAAGTCAAGGATCTCGTTGATAAGTAATACGCCAGTGAGAGAAGAGTCAAAATCTTTACCAAGTAGTTACTCCCTGTGTGTCCTCTATTTTTATCATTATGTGGACAATTTGTTCTGACCTTAAAATTTCAGTATCTGTGACAGCGAATTGACTGAAACTTGGAAGGGGTGGAAATGAAAAAAAACCCACCAGGTTGGTGTTTCAACGTGGTAAATTGCAAGTGGGACAGTGCAGATAACCCCAGTGTTGGAGAGTCCCAACTACCAGGGACAAATACCCTGCAGAAGAGTTAATTAAAGGAAATTTAAAAAGAAACCAACCAACCAACCAAAAAAAACCGCAACATTTTGGGTTAGGTAATAGAAGAAAGAAAAATATGAAAAATATAACTTCTCTCGCCTAGCTTTAACTCTATCTGCTACTGCAATAAAATCCATTTTGTCTTAAAAGTAATGAAAAAATCATTTTCGCCTGGTGGACAAAATAAACCTGCACTCAGGTGAATACCAGTCATTAAGTTTTGATCTTTATTTCACATTTACCATTGTTCTCTAGTTTGATACAAAATCATACCTGTGCTTAAAAGGCTGTGTACACAATTGTTTTGTTGCTGTACATGATTTTAAAGCAGTATGAGAAAAATTAAAGAAAAGTCAAGGTCAGAATTATAGTTTTCTTTGTCCCTTTGCTCCAGTGGATAATGTGTCCCATTCCACCTGAAACTCATCACTGTTGGGGTGTAGCAGAACACTGTATGTCACAGTTCCCTCATTAAAATGTCATCTTTCTTGGGGTTTCTAAATCTAGGCCAGTGTTCCTGAACTCAAAACAGTATTGAAGCTAGGAGTTAGGAAGTAGCATAGGCGTCCAACAATCAGCAAATACGTGTTCAGTTATAAAAAGGGGTACTTCATTTCTCTTGAATCTGTAGCTCAACTCTCTTGTCTGTTGCTAACCTTTCTCAGTAAGCTAGAGCCATGAGGAAAACATTTCTTGGTCTTCAGCTCTGGTCTGTTTGAATTTTGTGGTGTGGGGTTTTGTTTGTTTGTTTGTTTGGTTGTTTTTTTTTGTTTTGTTTTTTTCTTTAACTAATCAATAAAAGTATTCCTTAAAATTGTTAATTTTCCTCATTCTGTAACTGAAATTATAATGTCATTATACTTTGGGAGACCTGTAGTTGGCAGTAATTCATAGAAAGGGGAAAATTAACCTTGTGACAGAGTGATTTCAGCATAAATAACTTCTCTGAAATGTCATGGCTTGAAAAAATATATGTCTTGCATATTAAATTTGCTTACCCATTATACTAATTGTAAGTAATTCAGCCACTGATTTAACTTTTTGTTTTATGGATGGTAGGTAGTGGTTTATAAAAAAGAGCAAGTAATAAAATATTTATTGTGTAATTGCAGCATAATTAGTATGCTGATATTATGATGTGTAACTGTGAGTTCCTGATGGCCTGTGGTGCAGGAGGTGGACCACTTCACAGAGAAGGTGCTAGATAAAAAAACTACTACTGCAGTAAAGCTATCAAGAGCAACAGGCCAAAAGGTCTCCTTGAGCTCTTTGTTAGAAGGCATTGTGAAGGGCCACAATGAACTGCCATGTGGCCACGTCATTACCTTAGTCCTTGTCTGCCTCCTGGCCTGTTTCTGACATGGGATGTGTATCTGGCCCTTTTCTTGAGCAGTCTGCAGAGTTACTCATGAAAAAGAATGTTAACTAAAATATTTCTCTCACCTTGCTGCGTTTTCAGAAGATGCTTCACCCTTTATATATAAAATACTTCACTAGTGCTTAAATGTAGGAAGAATGCATGCATTCAGTGTAGATGGAATGTTCTGATTCCATAGTCTGAACTTGCACAAAACACACCATGCTCCTGGTTATGCTACATCTTTATTTGAAATAGCTTTAGCTGGTGGAATGCTTGCAAACAGAGGAGTGTGGAGCCGCAGCCAAGAATAGGGCTGTGCCCTGCCTAAGCCCAGTTTGGCAGTGGCTTTATTTGAATATTGGATGTTTTCCTATTGGCATTCAAGATACTTTTTTGGGTAACCTTATTCACATACTGATTTCTGACACGTTCATCTATTTATTTACCTTCTTCAAAGACAGAAGACCCGTATTAGAATAGTAAAGTCTTTCTCAGTTCTTAAAAGGGTATTGTAGAACCCTCTCAGGAGAGAGGGCAAGCATACCTGAAAGTTTTAGGACAATTAAACCTTTTCAAGTATGCTTTTCTACCTGAAATGGTATTGCATTTTGTAACCTGCTTATATATCATAATTAAAACCATTTATGCTCCTTCATCCCTAAGAAAAAGGAAACTCTATCAGTCACATTTCATAGAGGCTCTTTGGAAGAGTTTTTCTTCTTTCATTCACTAGGTCAATTTTATGGTTTCATGGATACTACTGTCCCCATTACTCTGAGATGGTTTGTTTGGCCCAACCCAATGACAGCATGCAGATTTTGAAGTTCACACATGCTCAGACTGGAACAGCTGGCTCAGGCCACAAAGTGTTTAAACTACATATAGTAATAGCCAATGACTGTTTAAAAAGAAGAAAACCACTCTTGACGTAGAGGTTTTGCAGATCAAATTATTTTATGTTTCAGGCCAAGATGACTCAGCTGCCAGAGGCTGAAAAGGAAAAGATAGCTGAGCAAGTGGCTGACTTCAAAAAAGTCAAGAGTAAGCTTGATGCAGAGATTGAAATATGGGATGATACCAGCAATGACATCATCGTTTTGGCCAAGAGGATGTGTGTTATTATGATGGAGATGACTGACTTCACAAGGTAATTGTGCAAGAAAAGGGTCTTTACAAAAGGGAGTGGCTATGCTACTGTAGTTAGCTGTACCACACTACCTTGTACTGAAATATTGGAAAGGAGGTTTGAAGTTTTGAACTATGCTTCTCCTTAATTTTTTTTGTGGCTGTTTTCTTCTATTCATTTGGTTGGTTGGGGTTTTTGCACATTTTTTTATCGCTTTATTTCTTCTCTTAATGCAAGGGGAAAAGTAACAGTCTTGATTTTAAGCTGTGATTGTCTCATCTGTTGTACTTTCTACTTGCCCATACCGGACTGTGAAGCATAAAACGTCCTGTACAGGGCATGTTTCTGGCACTACACATTCAGACTCATGCATAATTTGTCACGTTGCTTGCTGTTGCCTTCATCAGAATGCTATCATGCTACTATATGTAGTTTTAAAAGAACAAAATGTCCTATAGCAGATAGCTTTCAAAGCTGGTATTTCTGCTGTCAGTGTATGTTCTATGATACTTGTATACAGGAAAGAAGCTTAAGTTCAGGAGCTTTTTCTGCCATGCACTGAATAGATGTTCCACCAATGGGAGGTACTGGTGTTTTGGAGGTTTTTCCATCTGGTAAAATTTCCATTTTCCAACTAATAAAATTGTTGCTGATATGTAAGTGAAACCTTAAAATACAACCACTCTTGCAGCACACTTCATGTCTCATAAAATAAGTCCTTTCATGCAAGATATGAAGAAAAATCTAAACCTGTTGAGCAGATTCTTCAGGTGTGTAAATTAGAGTTTCATTGAGCTGAACTGTCTAACAAAGCTGAGATCTGGCTTTTGCCTGTTCTGGGGAAGGCAGTTTTTGCATTTTATTATCCTAGCACTTCCCAAATTCACCTTCATGTGAGAGAGATTTAAAGATATACATGCTGAACTCTGCCATCCTTTTATTCTTTTTAGAGCATATGATTTGTATTCAGACCTTTGAAAAAGAACATACACTGCCATAAAGTCAAGTTTTTACGGTTAAAGTCACCTCCCTTACCAAAATTCTTTAAATTATTAGGTTTAGATTAATCAAGCTTAAAAAGGCTGGTTCCTAGTCATTTTTGCATCTGTTTCTCAGCTGAACACAGCATTATCTGCAGTTTCAAGGCAAAGAGCAGCTCTTGTCTAGTGTTGCTGGTATCCAAAGTGTTCACAGGGAACTCTGAAATTACTCCAGTAAAATCACAGAATCCCAGGTTGAAGGCACCTCAAGGATTATCTGGTTCAACCTTTTTTGGCAAGAGCACTGTCTAGACAAAATGGCCTAGCACCGTGTCCAGCTATATCTTAAAAAGTATTTAATGTTGGGGACTCCACCTCTTCCCCAGGGAGATTATTCAATGGCTGATTGTCCTTGTGAAAAATTTTCCTCTTGTGGACAGTTGGAATCTCCCCAGGATTAGCTTGTACCCTCTACCCCTCGTCTTTTCCATGGGACTCCTTGTAAAAAGGGCATCTCCATCTTCTTTGTAGCCACCCTTTCAATACTACAATATGGTGATAAGGTCTCCCCTAAGCCTTCTTTTCAAGGCTGAACAAACCCAGTTCTCTCATATGGCAGCTTCCCAATCCTTGTGGCCATCTTTGTGGCCCTTTTCTGGACCCTCTCCAGCCTGTCCACATCTTTTTTGCATGGCAGAGACCAAAGTGCACAGAATATTCCAGGTCTGGCCTGACAAGTGCTAAGTGGGATAATGATGTCTTATCTCTGCTGGTGATACCCTTCCATTAGGCTACACTTGATCAAAAAGATACTAAACAGCATTGGGCCAAGTATTGATCCCTGGGGCACCCCATTTGTGACAGGTTGCCAGGTTGAAGAGGAGCTATTTACCACCACCTCTGGGTGAGGCCTGTCAGCCAGTTCCTGCCCATCCCACGGACCCCTTGCCTAGACCATAGCACTTGAATTTCTCTAGGAGGATGGTGGAGTCTCTAGGGCTGTTCTAGAACTGTATTGAAAGTATTTGGAGAAATCCAGGTAGGCAGTGTCCACTGCTCACCCCACACCAACCAAGCAGGTTGTTTTGTCACAGGAGATGATTTTGTCAAGCATGATTTCCCCTTGGCGAGTCCATGCTGCCGTTTCCCAGTCACATGCTTCATTTGACTTCTGATAGCTCCCGGAGGGTTCATTCCATCACTTTCTCAGGGACTGAAGTAAGACTAATGGGCCTATAATTTCCTAGATCTTCCTACAAGGAGTAGATGGGGGTGGCATTAGCCTTCTTCCAGTCTTCTGCGATGTCCCCTGATCTCCACAGCTTCTTAAAGATTATGGACATGTGTCTGTCTAAACAGCAGGTGAACTCTTGTGGATCTTCCTCTTCCCATTGCTGTGTCAAAGGTGGCAGTTTAGTGCTGAGGAACACAGCTGGCTTTTTCACTTCCTTCTCCATGAAAATCTCGGAATGAATAGTGCAGAGGACACAGCAAGCACCAGCTCACCTTAGAGCTTGGTCTCTCCAGTCTGTAATTCTAAGTTCTTGGACACTGAAGAAATAAAAGATTCTGACATTTTGCATTTTTTACATCAGAACGGATGTATTTGGGGAAATAGTAAATTTCTGCATTTGAGTCACTTGCTGCCTAAGCTGATTTGTTTTCCTTCAAATGTATTACCTTACATTCATTTTTATTTAATCTCAATTGAGTGCCTTCCAAAACTAGTTTTTCAAAGTCATCTTGGCATCTTAGTGTGTTTGTGTGTATATATTATCCCAAATGTTTATGCACCAGTTCAACTTAGCCCAAGTTAACATTGTTATCAAAGTAACTCATTATTCAGACAGAAAGCAATGGGCATCATGATGGCATAAAGTATGTGCATGTGTATGCCTGAGACCATTCACAAAAATACTTCAGATGACAGTGAAGGACAGTGATAATCAGTGATTTCTCAGCAGAGTTAGAACTAGTGTAGAGTAAGCATCTGATGTAGCTTACTGTGGCTTTGTCTCTATAATCCAATAAGGAACCTGATGCCTGTGCTCATTTTTGAGTCTTGGCAGAAGGGACCTGCAGAACCTCATTTGAAACAGTTCCTATCCTACTGAACATGCATGAGCATGTCCTCTGCAGAGAAACACTAGGCCAGGCTACTGTCATTTTATGTAACACGTAGTTTTCAAACTTTCTTGAAACTTCATATGTGCTACGTGACATCAGCTTACTAAAACTTAATGCAGTGAACCATCCTATAAATCATTGTCATAGAAAACTTATACTTGACAGATGGAAAAGTAATTGAGCAAGAGCAGAAATGTATTGTTGGAAGTTTGTAGCAGCTAGCAGCAGCTGCTAATCAGTTGTATGAACATGATAATCAGGCCTGTTTATGCAAACCTGTTTATATTGATTACTGGAATCTGTTGAAAATTCTGTAAAAGTGCCATCTCATTTGCAGTAGTAAATGTTGACCCTGACACGCAGAGGTGGAGCTGCTGAAAGTGTGGTCTCCTGTTCTTGTTTGGACTCCACCAGATCTGCTGCACATTGGGGGATAATGTACAAGGTTCTTGCCAATTTTATTCTGTCTGTTCACTGAAGGTTGTTACAGCTAGAGATGGGAGAGTTTAGTAGAAGCTTCTTTCCTGAATTTTACTTTGCTGAAAATAAACTGGTTTGTAGTTCTAGTTTCTTTAGGAAGGTTAATGTGAGTAAGGCAAAAAAGAATTGGTTCTTATACTGCCATTCTGTCAACAGCAAAGGCATTCAGCAAAGCTGAGAAACAAGGCATCAGTGGGTCTGCTGAAGCTTTCTATCTGTATTCAGCCTGTAGCTGCAGCCCCATTTCTGACTTTCTCAAGAAACAGCATCTCAGATTTGCTGTGTCACCTTCCTCAGTGGTTGACCAGAAACCTGTAGTCCTACCACTGGCCTTAGGCCAGAGCAAAGCCTGGAAGAGGGTTCCCTTGTGTCTGTCACCATCTTCCTCTGAATATGCAGGAGAGGTGCTTTGTCATTTCACTGTTCAAAGGAGTTAGACATTTTCAGAGTACCTTACTGGGTCAGGATCTAGGCAAAGTGCCTATCTGCTTCTCCTTTGAATGCTTGCTGTGCAGAACTGTACAAAATAGGGTTTGTTTAGTTTTCTAGTACCTTAGGGATTCACTGAACACAGCAGGGTATTTCTTGCATAGAGGGGGTTTCAACTTCTCACCAGCTAGAGTATTGGGCCATGAATTACCAGCAACTGTGGGAGTTACTTCAGTACTGTCCTGTGGCTACTTCCCTGTGCAAAAGAGGAGTTTGGCTGGCTAGTGTTTAGGAATTTCTAATTGCTGTCCTAAAAGCTGTATTTGTCTAGTAAATATTCATTGACAGGAAAGATGAATATTAGGTTCCTTCTTTCCACGATGCCATCATTTCTGTAGTCCTCATACATGGTGTGCTCTGTAGCCTAGCAATTAGGAAATCTCTAAGTGAGAGGTGGCAATAGATGGGGATTTATATTTCTATGCACTGACATCAGACTTGACCCAAATTCTGCCATTGTGGTGAGTGTTGATGTTATGGAGAAGAGCAAGCAGGATTTCAGTTCTTGGTTCAGCTTTGGAAAAGCTTCTCTTTCCTGGGTGAGGACTAGATATAAGGATTCTTTTGTCCATGGTTTTTCCTATTGGCCATCTTAGATGCCTTCATGCTGAGCATTTTGTTTTGTGTAGATCCCATTTGGAATTACTGTAATTTACAGGGTGTCCCACAGTCTCAACAGTGCAGCGTGTGAGATGTGATGACTGCTGAAGCTGCATTTAACTGTTGTGATGTTCACTTTGTTGCCCTTAAGTCCCTTTGTAGTCTCAGGTGTCTGACATGCCATAGCTGTACAAGGACCATTACTGCCTTGAAAACTCAGTCCAAAACTTAAGCCTGCTGGTTTCAGAATAGAAATGGTTCATTCTGGTTTTGAGCTTCTACTTTCCCAGCAGCAACAGATCTGTCGTGCTCTGTGGGAATATACCATTTTTAAGGAATAGCTTC